GCTCCTAACTGCCCTCCCTTGGAAGCCTGATCGCCCACAACTGCCCTCCTCTCTGGCCATCTCGTGGTGGCCATCTTGTGTGTTGGAGTGATGGTCAATTTGCATATTACTCTTTTATTATATAGGATTTTTATTGATTTCAAAGAGGAAGGGAGAGGGAGAGAGAGAGATAGAAACATCAATGATGAGAGAGAATCACTGATGGGCTGCCTCCTGCACACCCCCAACTGGGGATTGAGCCCACAACCCCGGCATGTGCCCTTGATGGGAATCGAACCTGGGATCCTTCAGTCCTCAGGCCGACACTCTATCTACTGAGCCAAACCAGCTAGGGCTGAGTTACCAATTCCTGAGCTATTAGTGGGAATAGGGAACAAAGTGAAGCCAGGGTCAGAGGGCAGGGATGGGAGATTGGGCAGTGAGGGATTCAGAAGGGACCATGTGGAGGAGAGAGGGTGAGAACTCACCATTGAGAAAGTCCCGCTGGCTTTCCAGGATCTGAGCCACTTGCCTGATCCAGGCCTGACTAACTGCAGGGTCTGCAGTCTGCAGGACATAGCGCTGGATCCCACCCTCTGGCCCTCTGGAGGTCAGAGCAAAGCGGCAAGGGTCACCTTGGAGGTTCCCCTCCAGTCCAAGGCAGCTCACCTGGATTGGCAAATAGGAGATAGTGCCCCCAAATTCTTCAGGCCCTCTCTGGCTCCTGCCCCCTCCAACAAATCCAAGAGCCAGGCATCCTCTCCGAGGCCTCCCCTCCATCCCAGTCAAACCCATCCCTTGTAGCCCCTCCCCACCTTGATGCTGCTCTTGTATACATATCCAGGCTGTGTTCCACCTCGCACTCCTCCTCCCAAGGCCTCACTGAAGATGACGATTTGCTCAAAGAGGAAGACACGCCGCTCTCGACCCCGGGAGGAAAGAAGCCCCCCAGCCTCAGGCTCTGTGACCCAGAATGTGTCCTGGCCCAAGAGCTTCCCCTGAGCAGTCAGTTTGCCCTAGAACCAAACGACAGTGGTCTTCCAGAAAAAAAACAAGAAGAAAAAAGAGGGAACTCCTGCTCCTCCCTCCTTCCCCCGACACTCCCAACCAACCATAGGGTAGCACCAGGAGAGGACAATTCCCCATAAGGACTTCCTGAATCTCAAACTGAGACAGAAAAGCACTGGTCCTCAGGTTTCCTGCTCCATCCCCATACCTCAAATCCCCGCAGTCTCCCCAGGGTCATCATGTCATTACAGCGCTTGGGCACGAAGCACATGACCTCCACTGCTCGCTGGGATGCAAGTGAAGAGAGAAGCACTGTCATTGGGAAGGAGCCATGTTTTGACCCCTGACAGCCTCCCCTAAAAACCAGACAGCTCTATACCACCCAAGGAGCTGGGGGGATCCTGGAGACTAAGAAGATAAAGGTGTGTGTGATGTGTCCTGGAAGACCTAGAAGTCCTCACCTCCAGCTCTTCAGTATCCATCCCAGCTCTACTATAATACTTGAGAAAATCCTAAGACACAGAAAAGAATGTTCAGGGAGGTCATGAGGACATTCTCAGAAGCTTTCACAACCTCCCCCAGGACACAGGTGAAGGCCTCTAGGAAGTATGGGGAAGCCTTAGGAACCCTGAGGAGATGAAGGAAGGAAGAGCTGTCCCAGCCAGCTGGAAGGTGGTCCTGACCTTGAGCAGCAGCTGGTATTTCATGATCCTCTGCACTGGTTTGATGAGAAGATCATTGAGCTGCAAGCGGTGCCCTAGCTGCTGCCGGAGCTCCTGGAGACAGGGATACACAGTGGTTACGCAGCCTGGAAAGCCTGCTCATGATGATTCTGTCCCTCTTTTCCCAAGGCACCATGCCACTGACCTCAAAGTAGCTGTCCCCAAATTCTGACACCACATGCTCTGATTTGGGTTTATTCTGACAGTATACCACATACATATGCAGCCGGCGCTCCTAGGAGGTGTGAAGTTTAAGCAAGAGCAGGATGAGTGAAAAGGAAGAGCACTTCCGCAGTCCCATCCACTCGCAAGCCCCCCTCCCCCCCCCTGCCTCCCCGCGCCACCCTCTCAAGCCTCACGTGTTTGATGAATAGCTGAGCCAGCCAATCAGGATCCTTCAAACACCGCTGTAGTTCCCCCAGGAGATAGCTAGCGGGGTTGGCAGGGAAGATAGGTCATATATCCCCACCCCTGCAACTTAGGGCTGTTTGCCCTAGTAATGGTCCCCTTGAAGCCTTTCCAAACCCTCCTCAGGCAACAATAGCTCCTGGGCCATGGATGGGACGCTGAGAGACAACCAGACATATGCCCGCACCCCACCCTTGCTTTTAGGGCTCCACCACTCACTCTCGATGCCACTCGTAGATTTGCTGGATGTTCCCAAACACAATCCTGTCACGGCCTCGAAGATTCTCTGGGACCCCCTGAGCAGCCATGGTGGCCATGTAACCCTATGGGAAGTTTGGGGTGGGAACATAGGTATGTGGGGCCAGTCCTGGTGGGAACACTACCTCCATAATAAGTGTAAGATGTAGGGGGATTGGGAAGGTGGGACAAAGGAGCATCAAGGCATCTTTTATTCTTTTTTTCTTTTGTTTCCTTTTCTTTCTGTTTTTTTAAAATAATTTTTATTTCTTAAAGTATTACAAAGAGTATTACATATGTCTCCTTTTTCCCGCCCTTGACACTCTCCCGGCCTCCCCTACCCCCCAGTGTCTTGTGTCCATTGGTTTTTATATGCATGCATGTAAGTCCTTCAGTTGATCTCTTAACACCCCCTCAAACCCTCCCCAGGCTTCCCACTGTACTCGGGCATATGCCCTGACCAGGAATCGAACGATGACCTCCTGGTTCATAGGCCGACGCTCAACCCCTAAGCTATGCCAGCCGGGCAAGGCATCTGTTAAAATTAGCCCTGAGCAGAGGGAAAGGGCTGGGCCAGGGCTGGGAAGGGAAGAGGGAGTTACCTCCACAATCTGCCCTAAGTCCTCCACATACATTTTCTCTGTCTCTACCAGTTCACCGAGGACATACCTGGGAAGAAAGGAGTGCACATCCTTGGTTTTCACACTTTCTCCCTCCTGGACTAGAAGCCCTTTCATTTCCACAGCCAACCTCAGAGGAAATTCCAATTCTCAAATCTAAAATGTGAGGGACAGTCCTCTGGGCGTTGTAGAGTGGCAGAGAGGACGGGAGAGTGTGGGGACACTTACATACTCCTTTCCAGAGCCTTCTTTTTCTGTTCCTCCTCACTCTCAGGGGCTTGGGACAAACTCTCCTCAGGTAGCTGAAAGAAAAGAACATCCTAGAGCAGCGGTTCTCAACCTGTGGGTCGCGACCCCTTTGGCGGTCGAACGACCCTTTCACAGGGGTCGCCTAAGACCATCCTGCATATCAGATATTTACATTACGATTCATAACAGTAGCAACGTTACAGTTATGAAGTAGCAATGAAAATAATTTTATGGTTGGGTCCCTACATGAGGAACTATTTAAAGGGCCAGAAGGTTGAGAACCACTGTCCTAGAGGAAGCAAATGGATGCCTCTTGGGTGAGGGGAGCCACCCAGACCCATTTCGTCATCATACCTTCGTCTCATCTCCGGGGCCCTCCAACAGTGTGGTCAGCAGGGTCAATTCTGGAAGTTCCTCTCCTGTGGCTAGAGCTGGTTCCAGCATCCAGTTCTAGGGGCCAAGGTCAAGTGCCAGAGGTCAGGGACAGTAGCTGTGTCTCCCCATTTACCAATAGCCCCCAACTTGTCTTCTCTCCCAGTGTCCAACATGGATGTCCTACATGCTTCTGTGGTGTTCCCTGCTCACCTCATATGGTCCAGCCTGGCCACCATCTACTTCAGTTTCCACGCTAAGACAATGTTTGGAGTGATCCAACCATCTTCTCAGGCCACTGCTGGGCCCGGGCGGGCCCGGGGAACAGGGCTCAGAGCTGAAGCCAGAGGTGGGGCCAGAGGGGACAGCCAGACCGGAGGCAGCTGAAGCCGAGATACTCCCCTCACTGTCAGCAATGGAGTAGGATTCTAGGGGCGGGGAGAAAAGGGGTGATAGATATTGCTCTACCTCCAGACTCAGGATCCCTAGGAAGCTCTCAGAGTCTCCTCTCTATGATGCTCGTCCCCTCTTGCCAGGGCTCACTCGTCCTCATTTGAGTGAGCCAGGATAGAAAATTTCACCAGGTCACCCTTGGAAGGACAGTAAATGCCTGGCTCCCCAGGCCTGGAACCCCCCAGTAACACGTGGAGGTTCCCTGATATCCTGAGCATGGCACAGATATGGGGGTGGGGGCAGCCATCTGGACAGACACTGGAAGCTGGGGGTGGCCATCTGCTCTCCTACAGCCCTCCCCCTTCCAGTGGGTACAAACCATTCTCTGAGAAGGGGGGTATGAAGAGCTAAGAGCACATCTGCCACCCCCAATCCCCTCCTCCACCAATTTCAGTAATCACTATCATCAAAAAAGGCGTCTGTAGCCCACCTCCCCAACAGGCGCGGACCCAATGGAAGGGGCAAGTGAGGAAAGCTTTTCAGGGTTATTTTTGGCCTGGGCTCAGGGGCAGAGGAGATGTGATTTTTAAGAAAGCCCCTGGTCGAGCCTCTCATTCCTCATCCCTCCATCCCTCTGTCCCTCCTCAGAGCTGAAGTAGAATCTTAGCAAAAGGATTTGAGGGAAGATGCGGTTCTAGGCCAGAGGGGATGATAGAGGGTTTTCCTCAAACCCGGCTGACTACGGGAAAGCCCTGCCCCTTCCCCAATTTCCTTAACTAGTTAGAAATTTGGAGGCAGAAGGGATCTTAGAGATCATCTAGTAAGTATTTCCTGGAAAATACAGGTACCGTCTCCAGCTTCTAAACCCCTAGGGCCAGGAGGAACATAAGTCCTGACCGCTCAGCCCACCCCCATTCAACGCTCAGCACTGGAGACCTCACACTCACCACGTCCCCCCCGGGCGATGCAGCAGCCGCATTTTGCCAGCACTTTTCGGATCACATTGGGACAGGCACAGCGACCCCCCTTGTGCCCCTCCCGCATGGCGCCCGGGCCCCCCCGTCCCCCCCACCCGGGCCGG